CCCAAGTCGGCAGTCATCACTGAGCAGCTCAGGAGACCTGGCTGTACTGCTAACAGCCCTCATTTTCAAGCCCTGCTGAGGGCTAGGACAAATTGTATTCCTTATTTTCAAACTGATGATTTATGGAAGGAAAGCAGCTTTTTTTTCCCCCAGTTGTTCCTAAAAGACAGCAACTGTGTGTAAATATGACAGAGGAGGAAATTGCCATTGTTCACAAAGCATTTATATCTTTAAAGCATGATGAGATAGCACAATACATTGTAATTACTCGTGATACTTTGCATCTGTGTCTATGATTGACAGTGCTTTTAAGGAACAGGCATAACAAAGCTTCTCTAGTTGTTTGGGTTTTTGGTTTTTAAACAAATGTTTAATGTTAATTGCTGATTTCTCTGTCTTTGCTGTGTGTGCTCTGTCTCTGTTTGCAGCCTATATCTTTTGGTATTTCTTTGGTATGTCTTTCTTTAAGTAGGCAGAGAGCATGGAGGAGAAAAAAGAAAAGCATATGGTCCTGATTTCCCCTCTCTGTGATAAAGACCAGTTTCTTTAAGGCATTACAATAGCTAATTAGATTCCTGATTCAGATGTATTCACAGTAGTAAATACATCATCTGCACATGTCTCTCCAACAGAACTGTGCTTGTGTGGTCATCTTCTCTGTTTAGAAGATTCATCTCCCTTTAAAATGTTCACATTTTTTGATTCAGTAAATTAAGTTATTAAAAACTACCTCTTTTTACTGAAAATGACTGTAGCTGTTGTGAAACATTAGATGCTTCTCAGGCTCTAATGCCCTAGAACTAATTGAAGTCTGAAGGCAAAGGAATCTATAATTTTGGACAACCTAATGAAATGGTTGCACACACGAATTCATTACAAATAAAGCTCCTACTTTATGATTTTGTATCTGCATTAGAAATGTCCTTGTTTTGATGCTACCTCTGATCTTAAAAGTAAATGAGGAGACAGTGTTTCAGCAGAAATCAGGGAGCCTGTCAGGAATTCCTTCCTTGGCAAGTGGCATTCCCTGCCATCCCTAACCCTGGTGCCAGCAGAGACTGAGTAGGTGGGAATCTGTGTTGAAATACTGAGTAAACTATTTGTTAGCATCTCTCCTTGGGGTTGATAGACTCTCTACTTTTCCAAACCCAAGTTGCTGTGATAAGTTGCTTGCTGTAATTTCTCCATCATTTTCTCAACAAGTTACTTGCTTTTCAGGGCATTCTACAAGGCTGTTGTCTGATGGGGAACTGCCCAGGAACCCTTTGAAATTAAATAGTGCTCAAATTAATGACTTAAAATAGGGCAGTATGGAGAACCTCCTGCGTTAGACTACCGTCCTAATTAATATTGCATGAACAGAGATTTGGGCTGTAAAAGCTGTTGAAGCTGTGAATAATAGGAAGGAAGCAGGATCCGATGGCTTAGAAAACGGCAGATCTCAGAATACTTGAAGAAATACAAGTTTCTGAGGGTTAATCAGACTTTTTGATGCTTCTTGTTGCAGATGATAACAGGGGTTTGTTAGATACTGATGAGCTATTTAGTCATGTTGCAAATCTTGTAAATAAGCATGTATTGAAAATTCCCATCTTCATGTGAGGATTTTTAAAATGAGATTGGAAGTGATGCATGTGAGTGGAGAAGCAATTAATTTGTTGGTATTGGATTTTGGATGAGGGACCATGAGGAATATCAGAATGTGAGAAAATAAAAGATCAACATTGGGAAAGAGCAAAGGTAGACAGCAGAAGCAAGACTGAAAGGGCAACTGGAGATGAAAATAGCAATTGCTTTAATTGAAGGGGTGAGCAGAATTTCTGGCTGGTTCTTGTTTTGCTTTAAATGGCTTGTCGTAACTCATGTAATGGCAGAACATCAGAATAGGGTGTTTAAATGTCATGGTTCAATCAGAATCAAAATGTGTTTACACTGAAATGCAGAATGTGCTGGGAAAGCTCCGCTGCAGTTGCAGCTACCATTTTCACTTTGCAGATAATGTATTGCCTTTCAAAAGGTTGACTGGGAGAGACATAAAGCTGACTCAGAGAAGAGCCCAGTGGGAGAAGCTCAGATACTTTGTTCTGTCCAGGGAACAACCCTGATAGTTTCTAGTCCTGTTATTTAATTCCTTTCTCTTTGCAAATGATGATTTTCAGCAAACTATATTTAAACTGATTGCTTTCTCTGGTTCTGCAGATGTGGATGAATGTCAGACTGGTGTACACCGTTGTGGTGAAGGGCAGATTTGTCATAATCTTCCTGGGGCTTATCGCTGTGACTGCAAGCTGGGATATCAGTACGACGCCTTCAGCAGAAGCTGCATGGGTATGTAAGGCACAAGATGAGATGAAAGGACTGATTGATTGAGCCTTGGACATCAAGGCAGTATTTAGCACCATTGTAGTGTGCAGTTATTAGTTCTGCAATGCAGTGCCTCAAAAGGTAATGGAATCGCCTCCAAAGCAGCCATCGTTCGGTGCAACTCTTCCACTCCATGCTGTGATTTCCACCAGGTGCCCTTGGTTTGCTTTAGTTGTAGGCTGTCAATTAGAGTCATCTCCAAAATACTTTCCTATGAGTTATGCTTGTGCTGCTGTAGAATTTTATCTTTCTGGAGATTTCACAACTTTGTAAGAGGCTATGATACAGCATTTTGTGTTTTATTGGTACTACACGCCAGTTAGAGCACAGAGAGCATAAAACCTGAGCTTGCAGAATTTTGCGCTCTGCAGATCGATCTCTGACACTTTCTAAAACACCCTCCTGCATCTTATTGGATACTTTTATTTCTAAGCTGATTATATGTTTGCTTGTTATGCTGGCAGATATAAATGAGTGCTGGAATTACCCTGGACGCCTGTGTCAGCACACGTGTGAGAACACCCCTGGGTCCTACCACTGCACTTGTTCTTCTGGTTTCCGCTTGTCTTATGATGGGAAGCATTGTGAAGGTACCAGACATTTTTTCCATGAAGAAGAAATTGCAGTGTGAATTAAGGAACTTTAGAGAAGTTTAGGTGGAATATAAATAGAGCAAACTCATGATTTATGTGTGCTGAAATTTGCAGATATTCAGTTGAACACAAACTGTCAGATGAGAGTAAACAAATTTCTCCTCTTTCTTCTTTTCCCTCAATACTTTTTCCGTTCCTTCCAGCTGAGCATAACAAACTTAGAATAGGAGACTTTTCATTCAAATTTTAATAAAGATGAAACTTGGTAGTGAAAAAACTTGAAAAAAATTCTTTTGGATTGAATGGAAATCTTGTTTAAGTTCTCCACGATTTTTTTAAGGTGATGATTACATATTTTTAATCAGCTGTAACATATAATGTCTGAAACACATATTAGCATGTGTATGTTTTCATTGGCATGTACAGAAATGAAATCCAGGTGCATCAGACATCCTCATACTCCTTGGCATTCTGCCTAGGGAGGCAGAAACATCTTCATGGGACAAATTAGTCTGTTTTTACTCACTGACGAGGGGCAATCTGGTTGCTGTTCTCAGAGGCAAGAAATGCTGGGAAATACTGTTCTGAGGCATTGTAGCAATGTCTGTGGGTTTGTTTTTGGATACAGATGTGAATGAATGCGACACTAGTCCCTGCAGCCAGGAGTGTGCCAATGTGTATGGCTCCTATCAGTGTTACTGCAGGCAAGGCTTCCAGCTAGCAGAAGACGGGCATTCGTGTAAAGGTAAGGCTGGTGCTTCGCCAGGGCAAGTTAAATATGTGTGCACTCTTTAACAGTCTGGGCTGTCTAGCTCTCAGCAGCACCTAATGCTGGAGGTGATGCCTAAGGAAGGTTGTGAGTTCCACCCTGCTGCAGAGCCTGGAGAAGGTAACTCCAGCTATTGGAAAATGCAGTTGATTTTGATTCCTCCTGCTCAGGGATGGAACACACTTATGTGGCCGTGGAACCTGCGAGGTTACTGAAAAAAATATGATTGAAAAAATTAGAAGGGAAGATACGTTTATCTGTACTGTGTCCATTAAAGCCTCCACTCGGGCACGGTGGAATGAAGACTTGCTCTTCTCTCTGTGGTGGCTGAACGAGGAGCAGGGTGATCAGAATGGAGAAGGGGAAGGTTTTTACCTGTTTTCTTGATGTTAACAATGCTGACACATTGGAGAGCCTCCGTTTAAGAAATGGTGAAGAAACCCATGTTCTTCCTGGCACTAGGAAGCCTCACAAGCAATCCTAGAAGAATTAGAGGTACCACAGAGAGTTTTTCAAACTCAGATGTGCCCTAGGCTTTTTGCTCTTTGCTGTAAGTCCATACTACTTGGAGACAGTATTTGGGGAGCAGTCTTGTGTTCAACATTTCAGAAAGCACTATCAACAGCCCTAGAGCAACATCAAACTTCCACGATTGCATTCTTGTTTAAGTATATATTATAAATGCATCAGATAAGAATTTCCTCGTGTTCTACACCCTCCCTTTTCAGATTTCCTTTTTTCTCTTTTTCATATGATTGTAATTGTGTTGGTTTGTTGTTTTGTTTTGTTTTTCCCCAGATATTGATGAGTGCACACAGAGTGCAGGAATTCTTTGTACTTTCCGCTGCATGAACGTTCCTGGTAGTTATCAGTGTGCTTGTCCTGAGCAGGGATATACCATGGCAGCAAACGGAAGAACCTGTCGAGGTAATGAGGAGTTTAGGAACTGAAAGGATTATATCCTGAAGCTTTAATCCTTGGAATGATCTCAGCCATTATGATTATTTAATCAAGTCTCCATTTTTACATTAGTCACTGTAAAAAAGCCAGTATTTGACAAGGTTGCCAAATACTGGTATCTGCAACGTCAGCTTTCTCCTGTGTTGGAAAATGTGCTGTGGCAACTCAGCTGTCAGGGTGAGCTAATTGTTTAAATGAATTCCTAAGGGAGCCCATTTCATCCTTCCAGTCGGGGTGCTCGATTACTTGCATGAGCTGTATGTGCACCTTGGCACATACATCTGTTCTTCTAGAGGTGCCAGACGTAGAAATCTGTGGCTTCATGATGAGTTGCAGTTTCCTGCCCCAGAAAGCTGGGAGAGTGAATGTGAGAGCTGAAACAGGGACTTGGAGATCCAGAAGTCTGCCACCTAAGCTTAAATATGTTGGCATTAGTAAGTAAGTGTTAGTGTGAATGGCATGTATCCTACACACACACCTACACGTGCAGGTGTGCGTGCACGCACACACCCCCCTTTTCTCCAGAATCATAGAAATATCTTCTGGGTGTCTGGTGGGTTTTGGCTCGTTTGCAGCTGTTTTGGAAGTAAAAATCCCCCATTTCTAAAGGATGCTCTGACGGTGTAATGGTGATTGAAGATCTGGTTACTTTCAGGTACACTACATGCATTCATGCAGC